CTCATCTACAGTCCTGCCAAATTTCATGGTGATTGGTGCAGCCAATTTTGTGCTACGGTTGACCAAAAAATCACTGAAAAAAATTTAAATAAATATAATTAAACAGTACGAAAACAATATGACTCCCGCTTACGCTTCRCGTGCGGGGGTCATAATTAAGGCTAATCTATATGTACACACATCTGAGACTGCAGATTTCTTAGATCTCTTTCTTAAAGAAAAAAATCTGGTGAATGTGACAGCTCAATGAATGCCTTCAGCTCTTTCCTGAACAAGTATTTTTATTATGACCACCCCCCCACCCCCCCCACGCGAAGCACAAGCAGGAGTCGTATTGTTTTCGTACTTTTTTTTTCAGTGATTTTTGGTCAACCGTAGCACAAAATTGGCTGCACCAATCAACATGAAATTTGGCAGGACTGTAGATAAGTCTGACCTACACTGCACCAGCCAACGGTTTTATGATAGACCCCATATTTGAGGAGGGGGCTCCTTTCAAAATGGGGGTGTCAGGACATGCAAAAATGCTTATAACTCAGAAACTTTTCAACATAGAAGCTTCAGATTTCTTTGGTTGTTTAGCTCTGATTGGGGGCTATCCATCAGGTCGAACAATGCTCCCCCCACCCCACCCCACCCCCCACACACACACTCACAAAAAAAATAAATTAAAAAGACCCCCATCCAAACCACTACAATTTTGGGATGCACCTAGTAGCATGACATTTATTCGGAATAAAGACGTCTGAGTTCTGGTGCATTTCGGGGGTCATTATGTTACCGCTATGCGCTATCTAGTTTTTATTTTAGTGCTGTGAGCATTATCTCTCTGAAAGAAGCCACTACAATCAGGGTACATCATTGCTACACAAAAGTGTTTACAAAAAATAAATAAATAAGTCAGAAATGTCAAGCACAGTTCATGGAAAAATGTACTTCACGGAGCACACTACCTCATCCCATTCTTTCATGAAATGCTAGTTTTATTTCACAGAAGGTGTGATGCAGTCATTGATGTCAGTATTTACCAAAGTCACTCAGATCCTCAAATTTTCTCATTTATCCCATTTCAGTGTTCATCCATATATTTTATAGATTACATTTAATTGAAATATCTACAACTTTCTTGTTGTTTTCTTCAAAAATGAACAATAACAATAATAATAAAGAAGAAGAAGAAGAAGAGACTTACTGTTTAATGGTGCCAGTAGTCAGAGCACTAACAATCCACTGCAGGTCCAGAGTCTTGAAAGGGATTAGCACTAGACGAGTGGTATTGTCCAAGTCTATGGCACTTTCTGGATACATGAGATGATGAGTTGTTTTGGTTCCTACATCCTCCTCAAAGCCACTTCGTGGAGCCTGGTTCATTCTGCAGAGACAGACAAAACAAACAGCTCATAAAGTGTTTCATGTCTGCTCTGGACAGTTAGATTCTTTGTTTTTCTTCCATTGTCGTATGCTGTTGAAAGTCAAAGGTGGAAAATCTTTAGATTATTTCCATGTCATGTCTGGACGTCCACAGAACTGCACTTCTTACCCATGACTCATTGATTAACCACCTGTCCCCATCTAGTTATCTCTACCTCTCCATCTCTTGGACCAGGTTTCCTCTGTCTCATTTGGGAGACCCTCTGGCAGATTGGTCAGTATTGTGTAACCAACCACAATCCCTCTCTACTTCAGATCTGTACCTGGTTCCTGCGATCCTACAAAAAAAGCTGATATTCCAGTTTGAAATAAATACTCTTAAAATGCTTCATTCTGTGTGTTGGCTGGAACTTTTCGGTCCAAATAATTCCAGCTCTTTGCAGTCAACCCAGTTCAAGATGGCCACCACAACTAACTGAACTTTAAAGTGCACAAAAATGGTTATAACATATTAAATTTTACAAATATTGACTGAGAGTTTGGTGTGGTAGTAGCTGAGAATATTTCACAACACATACTCCAGAGGTTACACTTTGGGCAAGATTTGACCTAGTTTGGCCTTAACTCTTTGAGTTAAACCAATTTATTAACAAAATATCTCACAAACCTCAGTATGGAAGCTGAGAGCAGCAGTTTACTGCATACAATTATTTTCCATGGTTTTCTTGCGATAACAACATATTAGGGGTTTCCCAGGTGCTCAGCGCGGTGCAGCCCAGGAACTATGAAAGGTGTGTGCGAAAACAATAGTCGAACAACCATGTGACCACACATCGGGTGTAGGGCTGCCACTAACGATTATTTTTATAATTGATTAATCACCGATTATTTTTTTCGATTAGTCGACTAATCGGATCATACATTAATTGAGTATAAAACTTACAGCTTATCACGTCAGAATGCAGCTGCTATTATATAACCATGGTTAGATTTTAGCTATATGCTAACTAAAAATAATTGCTGTGGAAGGCAAGTTCTGCCTTGCAGATATTACACAGGTTTCTCTTTCATTTTCTTAAAATGATCCCACACTTTGAGCTCTGTTGTCAGGTAGCCATGATACCAGAGCCTGTCTGTATAATGTCTTGTGACGTCCACGGCCTACCCCAGTTACCACTACTGTGCATGTGTGTCAAGGACAGAAAGGCAGATGTGGCAGTGGAAGGTGTCAAAGCAGTTTGGAGAGAAAAACAAAGTAAAGGAAAAAAAAGAAGAAAACGATTAATCGATTATTAAATTAGTCATCGATTATTTTAATAATCGATTAGTCGTCGACTAATCGTGGCAGCCCTAATCGGGTGTTCGGCTTTGGTTGGACTGTGTGGAGGCCTTAACTCAGAGACAATCCAATTCAAGATGGCTGCCACAGCTTATCGACATAAGTCAACATAATGGCATTAACTTGGTACATTTTCAGTCTGAAACTCTTGAATGAAATGCAGTGGGCAATGAGCATTCCTGCAAAGAAGGTTGGGTCTTTAGTTAAACTTAAATATGAAAAATATTTACTCATGATTTGCATGTCCATATAATCTACAGAAAACCCCGAGCCATTAACCACCGTCAACATTTCAAGCCTTCTGTAATCTGCCTCCAAAACCATGAGGCTTGATACAGGAGAGCCAACCAAAACAAAAAACAACACAGAAAGAGAAATAATAGAAAGAACTGATTTCCTTTCCATCTAAAAGCAACTCTAATATCCTGTGCTGTGTGCATCCAGAGCCCAACAATTACCACTTCACAGTCAAGCCAAAGGCACACCTATTATTGTCCAACAATTTCCTCTCAAACTGGAACCATAATTGTCAGGGACACAGTTTGACAACAGCAGCTGGCTCCGGTCAGAGGTAGAAAGTGACAAAGAGGAGAAGATTTCTGAGTCTGACCCTCTTTGTGACTATCATTACCCATACGAGTGCTCTGGTCTGAGTGGTATCATCTTCCTCATTACAGACTTGGAGATGACAGCTATATACCAATTTGACATTTTCAGCCTCAGCCTGTCAGAACAACTTCTTGCCAGCAGCATTATTGGCCAAGGCTAATTATTGTTGATGACAAGTTCAATATGTCACAATTCAGTCAACTTTCTAAAACAATTACTGCATTCCTGGTAGACAATTACATTTGTGCTAACACTAAGCTGACTTTAAGGGAAAAAAGGCTGCCAAAATGTCTACATTTTGACGTCTAAACTATATAAGCAGAGTAAAGACAATTAAAAAATAAAAATATGTAAAAACTGTTAACTGTGGCCCATTAGGGCCATCATGGTAACAATACATCATACCTGCCACTCTGACAGCACATGCAAACAAAAACACAAACTTGTAAGTAATACTGCAACAGTTCAGTCCTTGTATCATTTTTTTGCGAGTTTAACAACATGTTCATGTTCCTGACATTAGTTCAAGAGGCCGAGTTAAAGTCATCCAGTGATAATTAATGGCTAGATAGTTGTTCCTAAGGCGTTCATGTCCATGTCTGTTTAATTAGTCTAGATGCTGTTACCTTGGCCTTTATTCTGAAGTAAAAACTTCTGACTTGTATGGATTTGAAAGCAGAAAAGTAAGCATCCTATAGGTCTGATTTAGGAAAAAATAGAGAAACATCCTAAATCCACTGGAGTGGGTACCTGATCGAAAATAGAACGATGCATAAAAAAAGCTAAAATAGACCCACACAAAGCTCCCATTGTACAATCAATTACAGTGACGTTTTGGTGTTTCTTCTTCAAACAGCAAGCTCTAAAAACAGAGCGGCCATCTTTAAATATTCTTAGCCAAACCACGTAACAAACTCTGGTTCAAAACATAAATATGTGTTCACTTCTTCCTAATTCTTTTCAAACAGAAAAGTAGTGGTAATTGGGTTCTTGGTTATGTATGCACATGTTTTCTTTGTCCTACTGATTGCTTGTTTTATTTATTTATTTTTTATCTGTTTGAAATCATTTTTTAAATAAAATAAAATAAATACTGTATAATCGTAATGATTCACCAGGTGTTATGATTAAAAAGAACAAAGTATCATCAGTACAACTAAGAAAAGTAATCTTATGCTTCTTATTTATTTATCTACTGAAAGCATTTACCGAGTACTGGTCTAAGCATTGATCCCTGAGGGACTCCATGACCAGCTCTGATGAATGAAGACCATTCTGTTACAGTTTTTGTGAGTTTTTGGACCCAGAATGCAAAAGAGGTGGAAAATAGCACTTCATTTTATAATTAGCAAAAAACACAAAAGACTGATGAGGCCACAAACTTACAAAACCCTGGGAAAACAGACGAAGGAGGCAGGAGGGAACACAGGGAAGCACAAGGTGGATTACGTGAGAGAGCTAAAAAAAAAAAAAGCCAAACTCATGTGGGAATGGAGATAGAGGGGATAAATGGGCCGAGGCTGATGAGAAGATGGAAAACGCCTGGGACTAATCAGCCCATTCTCACTCCCAACTCGTCACATATTGACGCTTTTCCAAGGTTCCCTCTGTGTCTGGTTTTGATGCGTCGGTTACCATCCTAGTGTCAGTTATTGATGAGATGGGGGAAAAAATCTGTTGTCATAATTTCAGAACGTGTAGAAAATGCACAAAAACTAACCGTCCCAAACCCTAAAATTACCTTTATTCGCTCTAGACATCCTGTCCCTGACCCCACTACCTGAAATGAACCATTAACCCTGATCTCTAATATTAACCACGGACCCCAGCTCAAAGACCCCTATATTTTGAGTCCTGCCACGTCAAAACCGGATGCAGAGGGAACCCAGAAATGCCTGGTGCGTTAATAACTGATGCGACGGGGTTAGCCGACACGTCAAAAAAAGACGCAGAGAGAATTTTGGAAAAGCATCAATATGTGACGAGTCGGGAGTGAGAATGTGTTTGACTAATGAAAGCAAGAACATGTGTGATTGGGCGTGCAGGCTGAAGGAGAAAAAACTGTGGAAAAGTACAGGGATCATGAACTGGTGGCACAGGGAAAACAGAGGAATAGAAGCTGTACAGGAATCAAACAACTTAACAAAGCTAACCTTAAAACACAAACAACTACAAACTAATGAAAAACACCAACTCTATCTGATAAATTAGATTTAGCCAACTTAGCGTTGTTCCTAAAATCTTAATAGGGTCAAGCTTCCGTAACATAAAATTGTAAACATTTAAATTAATGGCCATCTAACAGGTCGAGTTTAGACACTATTAAACAACACAGTTTGTTCCCACCAATTTGTCTTGGTGTTTAAGGATTTCCCTCATTGACAATATTACTTTTTGCCCTAATTTACTATTTTAAGGACCTTTTAAGGACTGCATTAATCATTTTCTTTTCCTGGGTGGGAAAGAGAATGATTAATGATGTAAGCTATGCTACCATAATTTACATGTGTAATGACAATAAAAAATGAACTTGAGTTGATAAGTGGACTCTGTTAGCTGTGTGTACACTTAATCATAATGGAGATGTGTTGACTTAAAAAAAGATAAATATTTCAGACTATTCAAATTAATATTCAGTGTGTGGTCCAACTGGCACTGGACATGTATACTGAATGAACTGAAAAAACTAAACTCTTAAGTCAATGTGTTGACACTTTGGAATCAATCAAATTGATAGATAATGAACAGAAAACCCAGGCTTTTTACTTGGAATACACAAAGAAGTCATGAATCAGAGCAGAACTACATGGAATGTAAATGTCTTTGAGAGACTCTTAATTTAGGAGTCAGCTCTATGTATCAACTATCTCTGTTTTAACTGATTTAGATTAAAAGTTTGAGAGGTTGTAAGGAGAAAACAAACCAATGTTTTTTCTATATGAATGTAAAATAAAAAAGAAATGTCTTATTTTCTTATTTGTTTCAGATTTTAGGTATTAACCCTTATTTAACCACTCAGATCCCAGATCTACACTCACCGGCCACTTTATTAG